CTCTCTTTCCTCTGTCTGCCCCCCTTCTCTCCCCCACTCCTCCTTCCCATCTTTAGATTTAGAATACATCTTCTGGCGCCTGTCACTGACCCTGACAGGTTCCATGCATGTGTGTTTCTTGGTTGAGCAGCTCTAAGTACTGTCCTTTCACACGGTGTTGTAAGGAAACGCTGCCCTCCCTCCACGCTCCTTTTCCCTCTGCTGCTTGTTGGATATATCACTGGCTTCCATGTCTGTGCTTTGTATTATTTGTGTTCCATTTTGGAGTAGAATTAATTTTTCTCCAGTGGAACTTATAAATTGTGATGTCTAAATGTATAACTATTTGCAACAGAAATGAAGTCTGTAGAACCAGACTTTTTTTTAATGGAGGAGGCTCTCCGTGCTGTATATGTCACAAGAATCATCTTTTGTTTCTTCCCAGCTCTGTTCTCCTGTTCAAGCTCAGGCTGAGTTGCCATAGTTTCTTCTATTCATTTGACATTTTCTTGGATACTTTTCTCTTTTTTTGATGTAATTTGTGCACAGGAGTTTCAGAGGAAAGTTTCTCAGGCATCTATTCTGGAATGTTCTTATTGGGGAATCACATTTGAGTTTCGGTTGAGTTGTATACAGGTCATTGCTCTCAGAACTTTTTGTCCATTAACAACAGTCCAGTCCTCCTCCTGGCGCTCAGCTGCCAGTGCTCCTAACCACGGAGCCATCCCTCAGCCCTCGTTAGCTCCGTAATTCTTTGTAGCCGGTGTGTCATTTACTTCCTTTGTAAGTTTCATGTCAGTCTGTGTCTTTCTGGATTGGCCCTTCCTACTTCACAATCTCTTTATTTTCCCCTTTAGTCTTTCATGCTTCATGTTCTAGATGATTCCTTGGCTTCCTTTTCCAGCTTACCTCTCTTGTTCCTATCCTTTTCTTTTTCAGTTAATCTTTGAAAAGTTTATTTTTACAATCATATTTTAATTTCCAAGATCTTTTTTTAAATCTCTTTAAAAGTTTTTAGGTGTGGTATCTCCTCAAATTTTCTAGGGACAATAAATAGAATTAAATATTGCTCGTTTTTCCCTGAATCATCTGTTTTTGCTGGAGGTCATGCCTGACCTGGGGGGCTGGCAGTTCGGAAGGTCTATCCCTGGCCTGTCTGACCTGGGGGGCTGGCAGTTTGGAAGGTCTATCCCTGGCCTGTCTGACCTGGGGGGCTGGCAGTTTGGAAGGTCTATCCCTGGTCTATAATCCTCGCAGAAGTAAGAAAGATTGACCTGGAATTCTATGAGAAGGGCTGGTCAAATGACGTGGGACTTTCCCTTTGTGTTCATGCTTCTGTGCACGTGTGTGTGCATGTGTGTGCATGTGCATGTGTGTGCACTTGTGAGACAGGCAGGGAACAGTGGTGAGTGTTAGGGGGATTTGCTTGGTGGCTGGAATCTCCATGTTTTTCCCGCTCAGCTGGACCTGCCCCCTTGTGTCTCTCCACATCCCCTTCGTCTGATGATCTTGGGAGTCATGTCAAGCTCTGACCTGTTTCTCTGCAGTCTTCACAGCTGCACTCTACACTTAGAGATCTTCCTCCTTGAGAGGGACTTTTACATTTCTCTATTTTTTTCCTCTGGATGAGAACAGCTGCATCAGACTTCTGAGTTTTCTAGTCAGAGGGAGGAGGGTCTTCCTCTCCCATGATTCAGGTGGGTTCTTGAGTGGCTCAGGTGACCCCAGTGTATCCAAGGCCACTGGGTAGATCTGCCCCAAGTCTAGTCTTCATGGGCCAGTTTTCTCCAGTGCTCTAGTTACCTCTTTACTCTGGTAGAAATGCCGTAACACTTCCACTTCCCTCAGGAAATTCTGATTGCTCAGAATCATCAAGACATGAGTCTGTTACCTTGTGTATGTCAGTGGGTCTGAGGGGAAAAGACGGGCGCCATGTACCACCTTCCAAGGAAGGTTTGCTTGTACCCTTTAACTTTTTCACTATTTCTGCTCTCAGATGTTGATCACATACAGTTTTGTGGGCACACACATACACATGTGAACACACACATACACATGTGAACACACACATACACATGTGAACACACACATACACATGTGAACACACACATACACATGTGAACACACACATATACATGTAAACACACAATACACCCCCTAATTAAGTTAATAGCTTGGCAGGATTTGGCTGTGTTTTCTGTCTGTGTTTTTTTCCTTTGGCATCCTGGGAGGTAAAGATTTGCATGCTTGTCAGGGTGCTTTTCTGTGTCGATGTTGAAACGGAGTCCATCTCAAACATTATTTACCAGGAAATCAAATAGGATCTTGAAGGTTCAGTGAGCACACGTTACTAATTGGTCTGAAGAATTAAAAAAACTTCCACAGCTTTTTAACCTGAAAGTACATGAACCGATTGCATGGCCAAGTTCAAAGATCGAGGTTTTCCTTCTTTCGTTCTTTCTTTTTTTAAAGCAATTCTTCCATGTTGTTAGTGTGTGTGTTCGACTAATGTTGAAAAGGCTTTAATTGGAGAGAGAAATGCTTCCCATCTTTTTCCATTTCAGCCAAAAATCGTGGGATTGCAATCCCTGTCGATTTGGACGGCCAGGTGAACACACTCTTCATGAAGAACCATTCAAGTACGGTGCAGAGAGCGGCCATGGGCTGGAGGCTCTCTGCTCGCTCTGGACCTCGCTTCAAGGAAGCTCTTGGAGGGCCAGCGTGGGATTACAGAAATATTATCGAGAAGTTACAGGTACAATGAGAGCGTGAAGTGATATTAATATTTTCTAGACTCTGTGTTCTTAAAATGTGTCATACAATACGGTTGGAAATACCGGATTCTTTCTGGAGGCAAAGCTTTCCTCTGCACCTTTCTGCCACCACCTAGTCCTGAGTAGTTTCCGGATAGATTGTCCTGACTTACTTTTTGATGAGTTATATAACAATGTGTTCTGATAGCTTCTTAGTGAGCAGTGGTCCTTGATCTCAAGGTAATTATAATGTCAATAATAAAATTAGTAAAAATAACTTACTATAAATGATATATGTAATAAATTAAGTTTTGATACTATTGACTCAGTTCATCTTCCAGTGTTCACTTATATTCATGGGTCAAAATGAGCCAATCCCTCTCTTCGCCAGGTCCTTGTATGGTCCTTTTGCAAGTCTTTGTCCTTGGTTTGGCCTGTACATTTAGGCCCAGTGAGCAAATGACATGTGGCTTTAATTTTCCGGGTCTGCCACAACAAAACACCATGGGCAGCATACTTTAAGCAACAGATGTATTCTTTTAGGATTCTGAAGGCAGAAATCCCAGATCTAGGTATCAGTGGCTCGGTGTCTTCTGAGACCTCCATCCCCGACTGTGGATGGCTGGCTTCTCATGTTCAGGGTCAGGATACCAATGGAAAGTTAAGTATGGTGTCATCGAAGCCAAGGGAAGGTGGAGCTGGGAAGTTGTGTCACCGTGTGGAGCGGTGAGAAGGGGGTGGAAAATGGTCACTCACGTGAGAGGATGCTCACGGCTCACACACTGTAACAATGGGGGCTGACATCTGAAGTGAAGGGGCCCGTGTGCGTCATGGGCTGCTCTTGGCACTCGCTTTAAACCCCCACAGCAAGTTTCCTAGCTGACTTCTGGTTTCATGATGTCATGTGGGGCAATTCTGATCACTAAGCTTCACCTCAAAACAGCCCAAGCATCATTTGTTCAATAACAGAAATTAATAGGTAATATATCAGGTAATATATCACCAGATATGGCCATTTCTGATAAGCATCCCCTTTATATAATGCACATGCCCTCTTTATTGCATTTCCTTCCTTTTAACTGGTATCAAACTTTCCCAGGAGGCTGATTGGAGGCCTGAAAAATGTAGCATGTGAGGCCTCATAGGATCCTGGTACTCTGGCTACCCATTAGCTAGCTCCGTGGGCAAGGTCTCTAAAGCTGAATGTATCTATTGGCTTTCTCCTTAGGCCTGGGCTCCCAGGTCACAGAGGGTTGCCTCTGACTGTGGAATCACACTCCCAAAGCCACCTTAAGTGGTTTTGTTTCTGTCCAGCCTATATGGTGGTCACCCAGGCTTCATGTGTCTCCCTGGTCAGGGCTGTGTGATGTCCTCCCCAGAGAAAATAGTGACCCTGGCCAGCACAAGCCCTCAGCCTGATGCTGAGTGAGGGGGCTCATATCCCTGTGAATATTTTGTCCTGATTCAGAAATAGTTCCAGGATTCTTTTTAGCAAGGAATGGGATGAAACAGCCCATTGGAGACGTAAATAGTCAGGCCTCTCAATAAATGTATTTGAAATACTATTGAATGTCCTCAAACCCTGCACGGTATGCTAATAGTGAGTGTGAGCTCGGGTGACCAGTGACACAGGAAATGTTGTTTAGCTGTTGCCCAGGGGTCCTCTAATCCACTCCAAGTTGCTGTGTTCCATAGTCTGTGAAGTGGCTTCACTGCATCTCCCTCTTACACATGTGTCCTCAGAAGTCTCATAGGTACCCACCAATCCATCATCTTATGAATTGGTTTAGAAGTATATAGAAGTCTGGAGACACAGCCCAGTGGTTTAAAGCATACACTGCTCTCCAGATATGTGAGTTTAGATCCCAGAGCCTATGTCAGGCCACTCACAACTGCCTGTGACTCCAGCTTCAGGGCAGCTGACACCCTCTTCTGGCTTCTGTGGGTACCCACGGTCATGTGTATATACCCCTCCCCTCATGTGTACACACACACACACACACCACAGAATATGAACAAATGAACTCAGGTCGTGTTGAAGTGTAAACGACACACATGGTGTTACGGGAAGCCAGGGCCACATCTCTTTCCCGGCTAATGTCACATCTTGAAAGGCGCTCACGTGGGGCCTCTGTGCCTTGTCCTAGGATGTCGTGGCCTCCCTGGAGCAGCAGTTCAGCCCCATGATGCAGGCCGAGTTCTCCGTGCTCGTTGACGTGCTCTACAGTCCAGAGTTGCTGTTCCCCGAGGGAAGTGATGCCAGGATAAGATGTGGCGCCTTCATGTCCAAGTGAGTGGAGCCAGACCAGGGACCGCGCTGGTGTGGAGGAAAGAAGTCCTCTAGCAGCCTGCTTTTCACCCTGCTAGTGGGTCACAAAATCCAGAACACCCGCCCTTTGATCCTTTCCAGAAAACTCCATGGCACAAATGAGCCACATATAGTCACATAAATTAAGATGTAGATGGATTAAAGTGAGATACTGGCTCACCCCTTCAGTTACGTCTCTAACATTCCACGGCTGTGTGTGGCCAACATCTGCTAGTTCTATACCACAGACAAGATATTGCTGTTAGTGCAGAGCCTGCTGGACAGGAAAGGTCTAGAATGTGACAGTGGGGTATGGGAAGGAGTTGACTAAAGTAGCTGAAGTCTATCAGTTCTGGTTCCAGCTGAAGATGAGGCAGTCTGCATTAGAGAAACCAAAAGGAGAGAAGTGGGGGTGATTTGGCAGACCCTCACCAGGCGGAGGGAAGGGTTGCCCCACTGCTTCAGAGGCTAAGGGTCCTGTGCTGTTGTAGTTACTTCATGGCCAGAGGCTCAGGCTGACCATTGCCCATGCTTACCCCACCCCTTCCCATCTCTCTGAAGAGCAAGAGTTTCGTTTGCAGGCGTAGCTAGAAATCTAGAGCTCCATGTTATTACTCGCCATGCCTGGCCCTGGCACTGCTGTGTGCGAACTCCAATGAGGCATCAGTAAAGACTGAATTACTCCCCTGCTTCCTCCAGGGACCAGGCGGTTCCGCAGGAGAAGATGGGGACAGCCTTAGGAAAGGATGTGGACTCTGCTTAGTCACGTGCAGTGGGACAAGAGGCTAGGTCAGCATGGGCATTCACCTCCAGGCAGCTGGTTGGGTCCACTCAAATCCTTATCTACTCCTAGGAAAGAGAATCTGTGTTTTTCAGACGGTGGAATGAAGGTCCCCTGATGGGTTTCAAGTCTACCTAGGCAGAGGCAAATAAAAAACATGGCTTAGAAAAAAAAATATAAAATGTGAAAGTGTATCTCACACAGTAAGGGGATTTCTGGAACAGTGTGCACACTTACCAGATTCCCCATGTCAGACCCACACTAACGGCCTTAGTGTAACTTCTGGCCCCTCCTTTGCTGTTTTATCATTTGTGGACATGCTGCCAGCCTCTCACGTCCATGCTTTGTCTGTGCTGCCTCCAGGTCAGGCTTGTCTTCTTGGCCTGCCTCCAACCCCACCCCCACCCCGACGTCTTCTAACACAAGAGCTGTCTCTTCGTGGATGCCTGCTCTGACCAGCTTTAGGAAATTCCTGCAGCACAAAAAAAAGCTTTTTTTTTTTTTTTTGGTCTAGTTTATTGGCTTTTGCCAGTACCTCTGTAGCATGAATCTTAAAGAATCTTATTAATAAAATCAAACCTGAGCCAGGTATTGGGGTTAATGCTGAATGATCATAGAAGCAGAACAAGCCACAGCCACCTCACCTCGCCAACTCCTCAGCTGATCCTGTTTCCTCAGACTGGAAGTGTCCTCATCTGAATGGATCTCAGCTGAACTGGGCTGTTCAAAGCCTAAAAGCTTAACCACCTAAAAGCTTCTAGTTTCTGGTCCTCACACCTTGTATACCTTTCTGCTTTCTGCCATCACTTCCTGGGATTAAAGGTGTGTGTCACCATGCCTGGTTGTTTCCAGTGTGGCTTTAAACTCACAGATGGATGGATCTCTGCCTCCCAAGTGATAGGATTAAAGGTGTGTGTGTGCGACCATTTTCTGGCCTCTGTATCTAGTGGCTGTTCTGTTCTCTGACCCCAGATAAGTTTATTAGGGTGCACAATATTTTGGGGAACACAATATCACCACATACCTCTGTTTAAGTTTTAGGAGCACTTGTCAGATCAGATGGCTGTGTGTAGCCTCTTGCGTTGGTGGGACTCTGTCCGGAAGCCTCGGATTGTTTGGTGAATTGCAGCACTTACAGGGTTTGGGCTTGGAAATCTGTTTCCAGGGGTCCTCATTAGGACTGTGTAGCTGGAAGCAGGTTGTGTCATCTGTCTGAGCCTCCTTTCTCCTCAGCACTTATGAAGCCTGATTCTGGCTCGTGGTGAGGATGAGCGGTGAGGAGGTCCTCAAGCCCGATGGCTGAGGACATTAGCTGGGCACGAGCTAGAGGAAGTGGCGTCTCAGATACATCCCATGGCACCTATTCTAAATGGAGCGTTATATCCCATAGTGCTCTTGCTGTGTCATGGAAAACTGTGATTCCCTTCAGTCCATGTCACGCTGTCCCTCTAGGAAGATGTATCTCACAGTGTCAGTTTCTTAACAACCCAATCTATGAGAACTGATTGCATATCCTAATCATAAACACTTCATTGATGCTTGGGATGGTTACACCCATGGTACTGAACGTCTTCTAGGACCCCACGGCATGCTTTATCACAGTAGGAGTAAGAGCCATGCTCTTGTCTGAACGATAGCAATGATCGAGCTGTCTTGATGTTATTCTTTTTCCTGCTAATCGCAGCAACTGCTCACATCTACCAATGTCATATCATACATGGCATACTGAGAGAATGGGGAAAATCCCGCTAAACTGTGATATCACCTACATCCATGATGTTATCGTTAATGTGATACAATGCATAGAAAAATAATAAATGATGTGATGGTGTATAGTATGCTGTACATCTTTTTATAATAGCAAAGTGGATGGGAAGGGAAACATTAGTATTTCCCTGTTTCTCAGAGTATCAGAACCCACTGAAAAATACATGCTGAGTCTGAGCAGCACTGAGACAGATAAATACCTCAGTCAAGTCTATAAGCTGATGTATAGTTCTGAGACCTTTGACATTACGTATCTGATTTACTTTGTGCCCTCAGCACTAGTTCCCATCCCACGTAGCATGTTGTATATATCTTGGTGAGTAATTGGTGGCCCTGTTAAGGTTTCATGTTTTGCTTTCAGGCTGATTAATCACACAAAGAAACTGATGGAGAAAGAAGAAAAACTGTGCATTAAAATCCTCCAGACGTTACGGGAGATGCTGGAGAAGAGGGACAGCTTCGTGGAAGAGGTATTCCTTTGACTTTCAGTACTTGAAATAGACTTGTTTTCTTTCTTTTCTTGTTTGTATTTGAAATAAAGTAAAATTTCCAGAGCAGCCTAACTATGGGTTGCAATGAGCCCTTATCCAAGTGCTTCTTATTGGCTGTATAATAACTGGGTGTTATTCGTGTTGGCTGAATTACTGCAGGGTGTTATTCGTGTTGGCTGAATTACTGCAGGGTTATGGCACTTCCTTTCATGTCTTGTGTTGAACTAAGGACGACTCAGATTGTTGGTGGTCTGCAGTCTGTCTTAGACATGCCTTTGGATTTTGACAGACTGTGTGGGCTGAAAGACTTCCCTTGTGGTCCTGGGACTGAACCAGGTCCTCTGCATGCAGGTGCTCTACCACCAAGCACCAAATCCAAATCTCCAAATGACCTCGTGAGATGACGAGTGATCGAGATGCATTGTTGAGACTTCATTTACGGTGCAAGGGCTTGTAAGAGTCTGTAGATGTTTCTGTGTGTTTTGTAAAGTTAGAATTACGCTTATGTTATTTTTGATAGTATTATGCCAAGTATTATAGGATAATACCATTGTTTTAAATAAAGGGAATGGTTGGTTTCTATTCTGAGCTGTATTAACAGATGCACAGTTGATATTCAGAGAAATATCAATGTATAGATTGTCAGTCGGTTATTAAAATGGGCAGTTTAGGTGCTCATTAAGTGGTAGCCAGCAGTGTTCTAATACCCACAGTGATCGGCTTAAATATGAAAGATGAATCTTGAGACTTCTTTTTCTTTTCTTTTTGAAGGTTAGCTACCTCTCATGCTCAGCCTCAAGCCAATGTTCTACAGGAATGCCTTTGTGTATTTGTGGAGTATTTCCAAAAATGCTAATCATCTGATATTTTAAAACTGTAAAGGTTTAATTTTTGTTAGTAGATACATGTGCTTTCTAACTTCAGAAAGTCTGTGGTGATTGGATCTTGTTTTCTTAGCACGTCCTGTAAAAACGAAGTGGAGTGGACATTGGTGGTCAGCAGGAAGGCTTTGCTTCCAACCCTGCATTTCAGGGCCGGCCACATGGCTCTGTTGCTGCCGTTCTTGCCACACAAGTGCCGCACCTGGCTTCAGCTCCCAGAAGCAGTGTGAAAAGCTGGGCGTGGTGGCCAGCATTTGTAGTCCCAGAGCTGGGGATGCAGAGGGCCCCTTGGGCTCCCTGGCCAGGCAACCTGGCCTCCTGGGTGAGTTCTAGATGGGTGAGAGACGCTGCTCAAAACAAATATGGCTGGAACCAGAGGCCCAACACCTGTGGTTGTATGCAGATGCACACACCCTATGACGATAAACTATTTACTAATCAAAATGCCTCTGCTTTAGTCCCACTGTTTAAACTATATTTGGATAACAAATAATTAAGATAAATGTGGTCAGTGTAGTTTTAGCAAATGTTTTTTGACCTAAGATTGAAGAAAACCTTCCGCATGTGAGTGTAAGTCATGGGTCTTCTTAGGATCTGCAGCTGTTCTCCTGTGAGCTCCTAGTGTGTGCTGCCTATGGCAGATTCAGGGGTGCACTAGATCTAGAGCAGAACAATTAGGTCAGCATAGTTTTTCTGATAAGCTTTCCAGTTTGACCCAACAGATTAATACTGAATGCTCTAAAAGAAAAGAGGAGGAACATGGGGATCCTGCTCTCAGTAGGTCAAAGTGTTTTAGTCTTTTCCAAGCTGCTTGCTCTGAAATTAGTCATCCATGTTCCCTAGCCACTCCCCTCGACTGCGCTAGTTCAGCCTTCCTCCCTCCTTCCTCCCTTCCCTCCCTCCTCCCCTCCCTCCTTTTCTTTCTGTTGTCTAGAAAACTCAAGGGGTTCATACACATGCAAACATGCATGCACATAGTTATGCCTACAACACACATTAAAAAATAAAGGAATGTAGGGGCTGCAGAGACGGCTCAGCTGTTAAGAGCACTGACTACTCTCCCAGAGAACCCAGGTTCAACTCCAGCACCCAGGTGACAGCTCATAGCTGTCTGTAACTCCAGGAGATCTGATGCTCTTTTCTGGCCTCTGAGGGCACCAGGCACACACATGGTCATAGACACACGTACAGAAAAAACAACCATGCAAACATTAAAAAGAAAAAAGAATGTTCCACCTGCCCTAATTTGGTGCTGTGATAAAATACTGACCCAAAAGCAACTTGAGTGAAGAGAGGGTTTATTTGGCTTACAGGTCACAGCCCATCATTGAGGAAAGCCAAGGCAGGAGCCAGAAACTGAAGCAGAGACCATGGAAGAATGCTGCTTACTGCCTTGCTCTCTCTGGCTTGCACAGCTAGTTTCCTTTCTCATACAACCCGGTCTGCTTGCAGAGGGCTGGTATCAGCTGTAGTGGGCTGGGTCCTTCCACATCAATTAGCAACCAAGAAAATGCCCCATTTGTCACTTGTCACTCCTTCTGCAGGAGACTCCTGGCCCCCTCTTAGAAGACCTGTAATTACATTGGAACCACTTGAAAAATCTGGTATAACTCCTGCCCCATACTAAGATTTTTAACTTAATTTTATGTATAAAGTGCCATGTTTACAGGTTCTTTAACTAGAGAGATCATAAGCCATGAGCATGTTTGGGCTGGGCAGTTTTCTAGCCTACCACACAATGTGCATGTGTAGCTTGTGGTGGGACACACACCTTCATTTTGTGTGTTGAAGAGTTTGTAAGTTCAAATCTGGATAGAAACTTCCATGAGATGTCTGGGCACCAGAAAGAGCTGGAGATAAAGACATAAATCCAAGGACAGTGGAGAGTCAATTGGCTGACCCTCTCTCCATTTTTCTGAAACCATCAACCCTAGACATCCCCCCCCCCCCAATTCCCTCTTCTCTCTTCCTGTCCTCTCTAGCAGACCTCCTTAGTCTTTCAGGAAGTCTGTGGCTAATCCGGTTCAGCCAGTTGCTGACTCTATCCTTTGATTTGTGGTGGCTTTATTGGCACAGAGGCATGGCTGTACAAACAGTTCTACAACATTGGAGTCTGGGTCCCTCAGCTTTGCAGAGCTGTAGGAAGGCTGCATGTGGCTGCACAGGAAGAGTGATTCCTTGTTAATACTGTGTAGATCTCGGACCACAGTTCATTTGTGTTTAGTGGTTTTTTGAACATCTACCACTACTGAGTCCTTCAGCATTGGCACCGGCATCGGCACCAGCGTCAGCGTCGGCATCAGCTTGTTTCCTGCCTGTCCCCTCTGGTGCCTGAGACTCTTAAGCCTTTCTGGATACTTTCTCCTTCAAACAAAATACCACCAACAGTTTGAACGTTTGCAGATTGCTCAGTGGAGTTGTGAGGCTTGTCTTTTCATGGCTGTTCTTAGCTTTTGTCTAAGTTGTTAATTACAATTCAAACTATGGACTCTACTGCTTATGTAAGCACAGCCTGCGAAAGACAAAAGAAATGTGATAGGAACACAACACGGTGGCTTGGCAGGAAGAGCCAGGACATAGTGTATATAATGAGAACCAGGGAACAATGTGGGTTGGAGAGGGGGCTGGGGCTGAGGGTACCAACACAGAGGTGTGTACTTTAGTGATCTCCATCCAAAGTGCTGAGCCTTCTCCTTGCTCTCCTGCCCTGTCAGGGTGTGGTCGTCGGGATCTGGTGGTCCCCTAGGAAGCAATAAGAAAGCCAGAGCCTCCTACTTTGCCACTGTGGGCTTGCTTTTAACAGTCTACCGTCACGATCATGTCATCTACTGCCAGGGAGCATGTAGCCACTGATTTCTAAAAAGCACAGGCTGTGGCCTGTGGAGAATTGATTATCTTATAGGCAGACTCAGACAAGACTTCTGCCTCTTAGGCTCATTGTCCTGTTTCTCGAAAGACGGTCCTGACAGCGGTTCCAGGGTGCTCTTCCCTGTCAGTGAGGAGAGCAAACCCCAAACACTGTAGAGCCCCCCTCCCCTGGGCAGCCATGTCTCCCTGATTCTCTGCACCCCCTCTCCAAGTTCCTCTTCTCTCCCTCTGCAGCCTGTGGCCTTTCCCTGAAGGTGCCTCTTCCCTGAGGCCGGCTGCTTTCTCAGCCTTTCCCTGCATCCTGCATGTCAGGAGCTGCGTGTGCAGGAGCGTTCCCACCGTCGCTCAAGGCTGATTCCTCTCCTGTTTTTGAAATCCTTATCTGTTGTAAAATGGCACATGGTGGCCTTGGTGGGTTTGAGCCAAGGTGCCCCACGGCGGGTGAGGGAGACACGCCACGCAGACAGAGGGCAGTGGTGTGACTCAGTGGAAAGTTTTATTATTAAAGGGGGGGGGGAGATAAAGAGAAAGAGTGGGAAAGAGAGAACCGGAGGTGCCAGCAGCCTCCTAGAAGGAGAGAGGAAGGAAGAGGGAGAAGGGGGGGGTTCTCTTAAAGGGAACTTTACTAGGTAAGATGACAGGGTCAGGATGCTGGGCGGGTCCCCAAGGGGTGGGTCTGAATGCTAACATTCCCTAACACTAACAAGTTGATTTTTCAGATGAAGGCCTTGGACTACGTCATCCTGACATCTGTCAGTATTCTGTCACCTCCCTCCCTCCATCTCAGGTGATCATCAAGCATTTCTAGTGCCACAGGCCTGGGACCCATTAGCAACAGGAGGTTTCCATCCATACCACTCCACAGTTAATACTCTGGCCTCTCAGCCTTTGACCTTTGCATCTTCAGTGACCTTTCTTCTCCATCACCCACCTGTCACTTCTCGGAACCCCTGGGAGTTTTCACCTCCAGGAGCTGCTGCATCGTGCAGCTGCCCATCCAGGAATCCCAACGCCCAGGCCTCCACTCTGCTATCCATCTCCTTTGCTTTTATCTGTGCCCATGTTGTCCGTCCTCTCCCTAATCAGGACCTCAGATCCCTCTAACTTCCCACCCCGCAGCTCACTCATCCTGGTGTGTGTCAGCCTTAGAGTTAATAGCCACAGGCTCCACTGCCGAGCAGCTGAGGCAGGAGACTCCCCATCGTTCCTAAGGAAATCGGGTGGAAGGGA